TACACATACATATCCCAACTAACTCAAATTATTCCCCACTCCTCTCTGTGGTTCTGAATCCCGCCCACTCTTCAAGACTCAGCCCAGGCCCGTGGTCTTGGTGACAACCTTGAGGGGCCATAGGAGCCACTCCTTCTGGAAAGTTCCCAAAGCTCTGATGGCCTGTCCCTGTTGCCTGATACATTTCACATGCTGGTTGTTAATGTGATGTATCTTATAAATTTTAACCATGGGCACTTGTTAGACAGTTTTGATTGTGAACTGAATAAGATCCAGTCCTGATCCAATATTGCTCAGAAGAGATATTTGAGGGAAGAGCCACAGCCCATGTTCCCAGGGCTGGATTCTCCCAGTGTTATTCCTGCTCTGTGCAACCATCAGAAAGCAGAGTACCTGGATTCTATTATCTTGGCCGCTCACATAAACACTTTCAGTGAGTTATGCTTTAATGCCAGGCCTCTAGCTTTTATAGAGGGTCAATACGAGAATCATCTGGTTGAACCACATTTCAGTATCTTTTGTAAAAGTGCAGTTGAAGACATCATTCACGGTGTCACTCAGCGTCCTTTATACAAGGATCCACACGATAATTTCTGGCTTGTATTTAGTTCCAGGAAGAAATTCTGTTTCTACAGATAAATTAGTTAGCATGCTTCTTACGGTCAGAAAATGAAAACTATGTAACTCTGGGTGCTTCTCTTTTTGCTTAGCAGCTGGACAATAGAGAACCAAATTTATTGCTCGTGTGCTGTAATTTGCTCAGCTGTGGGGTCCAAAAGCACTTATGCCTTCCACTTCTTTTAAATGGACTTATTTTATTTTATGTTCAAACGTCTCATTGTCCTTTTGCGAGATGTGTGAGTCTGGAAGTCACGGGGGAAGCATTCATTTGGCCATTGATCTGGCCTATTTATTTCTCACGCGGCTGCTGGGATGCAAAGATGAATCCCACTGCACCAGCTTTCTAGGAGCTCACGGTTTAGCAAGGAGAATAGCTACGGAAATGATTACAAAATGAGGTTGGTGCGCTAACAGAGTGGAGGAAAAGCAGACCTGGGAGAAGGGTCAGGGAAGGCTTCATGGAGGAGGTCAAGGTTGAATTGGTTTTGTGGCTGCAGTGGGAGGAGGATAGTGAATGGATGAATATATGTATCTGAGTCTGAGATTTAAAAAAGGAGTTACCTTTTTAATGTATGTGTCCCTTCATTCTGATTAGATTGGCGGGCACTGGATCTATGCCCCTCTGTGGACTCCGTGGTGTCTGGCACGGTGCTAAGGGCAGTTGTGTGGTGGCTGGACTGCGGCTCTGGAGCCAGGCCCTCTGGCTCTGCGTCCTCAGCTGAGCAAGTCAGGCAGGCTCACTCAAGCCTTTGGGCCTCAACTGTACAGGGAGGCTAGTGGTAGTGTCCACCTCATGGGGAGGTTGTGAGCATTAAAGAAGAAAATACACGTAGAAAACTTAGAATCCTTCTTGGCACATGGTGACGTACTCAAGCAACGTCTGCCGATTAGTCTTATCTGCAGTGTTAACCACACTATACCATTTAGGGGTGATAGTACAACAGGGTGGGAAACACACACCACTGAACTCAGCAAAGCACCCGTCGACTCAGCTAGCTGAATCTGGTTACATGAGTCCCATTTCCAAATGATGCCTAATTTAAAATAGCATTGTTTTATTGTTTCCTGAAACAGTGCGTGAGAATCAGCCCTCCTCTGAAGTCCCTCAGTAACTTTTGTTTGTTTACGACGTTCTTAGAACTCGTTATTGATGTTTCTCTTAAAGGACACCCCTGCCCCGAGCTCTGACTGTCAAGTCTAGGGGCTCACGGGGCACAGTGCTTCTCCAGCCTCACCGTTGTCTTCATGAGTCTCCCTGTCCACTGATTTTCAAAAGGACCAGAGCTCAGTAGATGTTCATGTTCCTGATGGACTTGGGTGGGTGGTAAATGAAGACAGAACCCTAACCTGGATTTTCAGCCAGGAAAGGGAGTACCAGTCCTCATAAGAGTGCCCACACACACACACACACACACAACTGGCCGTGAAAGGGCCATCCATGTGCTGGCGGTGTGGTAGTAAATGTTTAACAGCTGATCTCTTAAAAAAAAAATCCCTGATTTATAACATTTGCCAAATTTCTTGTTGGCAAATACTACCACCGGGGCTGATTTTAAGCTACCAGTGTGCTGTGACTAAACGTGGACTCGGGAGTGGATGCAGAACAGCGCACCATTGCACAGTGTGTCCACTCCGGAGGCCATCAATAGCTTCGCGAGCACAAATAGTAAAATGCAGCAAGTTAATTAGAAAGTGATAATTTTTGAGTATTTGTTACCTTTTCTTTTTTAATGTAATTTAATTGTAAGCTTATATAATTTAATTTTAAGTACAGCTTTGTTTAACAATGGTTTCTAAAATTTCTGCAATGTTAATAATTGGCTCTCATGTGTGGGATGCGCAGGCTCCCGTGCCGCGGGGAATGGCTTCCCACCGTCAGCCAATGATCCCTTCCGAATGGTGCCTCTCACGTCACCACTAAACCTTTGTTCCTTCAGGATATGGGATTGCCTTTATACAAATTTCCTTGGGCACACATCTACTTATGCAGACAAAGTCTTACGCAAAATATATGAGGAAACCTCTCCTGCTCAGACTTGCTCATTATCACCCCTCTCAAATAAACCCCCAAACCAACTATATCTACATTTTCATGGAAACTTAGGAACATGTAGGCAAAAGAAAGAAACAATAGCAGAGGACATATTTAACATAGAGAGTGAGAGAAAATGGACAGAAATAAATAAAGGGAACAGAACAAAAAGCGGGGATGGGAGTATAGGACACGCAGAAAGACAAACGGCTGGAAGGGGGCACGTGGCATCGTCACTGCTTCCTTCCTTCATCTGAGGCCTAAATTACAGGACATCAGGGAGTACGAATATACTGAATGAGTTGCTCTCAGTCTTACCAGAGCCCTCTGTCCTAGCCTTCCCCCCACACGCCAGCCCGAGGGGTGAGTGTTAAGCCCCTACAATCTGTTGTGTTGAGAGTTTTCTCTCAATGAGAATAATTCCCACCTGAAATGTGGTCACCTGGTACACATGAACACTGGAAGTTCCTAATCTCCCTCAGACAACCTCCTGAAGAGTCTGGATGACAGCATGACAGTTAATCTCAGAATGGCAGCTGGGAGATGTTAACACTTCTTCTCTAATTGGGATAGTACGCTTTTAAAATAAATAGGTATTTCAAATGCTCTTAATTAGACTTCCAGCCAGAGTGCTTTCTGTTTGAAGTTTGCTGATTACTTCAGGCAAAGCTGGGCCCTGCGGAACCTGACACCTGCTGTAATTCAGAAGAATGCTCCCGGAGGGAGGAGCAGAGGAATTAAGGCGCAAACCTGTGATGGAAAACATGCTGCGGTTTTCTGAAGGCCCAGGGATGTCTGTCCCCGCTGGGTGGACCAGCCCTGGGAGGACACCTCTTGCCCTCAAAGCCATGGAAATGGCTTCCAGGGCCCAAGATGAAAATTACCCCTGGAGTTGAGTGGTATTTTTCACATCATTGTTTCTGTTGAACTACTATCATGAAGGCTAGAGAAGAGGCCAGATGTTTCAGGGCCAGGTGGCAGCCCTTGGGGTGACTCCACATCCAGAGACCTGCCAGGGTGAGCATGGAGCGTGGACACAGAGGCCCCTAAGGTCCCTTGGCACAGCTTCCCAACACAGGTATTCTGCCTGCCTGAGCCTGGCCCAAGGAGTTAGGGCCCTGGGGCAGCCCCAGCTCCTTGTTGGAGAAGGCACTTGGCAGAGTCTCAGCTCCAAGTGTGAGCCCAAGTCTCTGGCAATGGGAGGGCACGTTTACCTGACCCCTAAGTGCCAGGGCCAGCGGTGGGAGCTCACAGCTCCAGTCAGTGTGGCTTGGGTTTCCTTGTTCTATGTTTTGGATGCAATGAGAAGTTATTTTATATGAGCATTATTATTGCTGAAACTAAATAAGCAACCTTTCTGATAATCCAAGTTCCTAGGGTCAAATGGGTCATCCTCACAGCATTAGGGGCTCTTCTCTATTTCCCCACCTTGGGCCTTGGGTGCTGGATTTCTCCAATTACAGGTCATTGCAGGGCCCAGGCCATCTCAAGGGGAACCCCTTTGTACGGAACACACACATTTCTTATTTGATCAAAGCTCTCTGGATGGTTGGCCCCAGGCTAGTGAAGTGATAACAAGGGGTTCTGCCCAGGATGCCTGCTCTACCAGTCTGCCCGGGAGCTACACTCTCCTCCCAAGTGACTTCTTGGTAACATATCAGCAGATGTCCACTGCTGAAAAGGTGCCAACGGCCTCTTAGAATATGACCATATTGGTTTAGTGTTCGCATTAATTAATGTGTTGAAGTGGGCTGATCATTGACGTGGGCAGTAAACAGCATGAGAGCTAAGAGCACTGAGTTTGGACTCAGAGAGAGCTGGGTTCTAAGCCATTTCAACACTCACTAGCTCCGTGACCTTGGGCAGGCCATTGAATCTGCTTCATCTGGTAAATGACCTTACCTCTACGGACCATGGTGAGGAGGAAAGGAGACAGTGGGCACAAAGTCGTGAGCAGAGATGGGCCAGTAAATGGTCACTGTTTCATCATTAACTGTCACTGTTAGGATTAGTTAGTAGTGGCTCTCAAAGCTCAGAGGAGGACCCTGAGGAGCTGAGACACAGGGGGGAGAATTTTGGTGGGGCTGTGGGGTGGGAAATGTCAGGCGGATGAGGGAGCAGCCGAAAGGGTAGGGTGCCAGGTGCTGAAAGCTGGGCGCAAGCACACGGGCTGGGAAAACTGGTCCCACAGAGGAGGAACATCCAGAGAAAGCTACACTGACAGCAGCCTTCCTTAACCTTCCTGAGGGTGTTAGATGGACTATCTTTTAGCTGGGTTTGCGTTTCCAAGACCAAGTCAGCTTATATTACCTTCACCTTCTTCCTGCAGACTCTACTTTGCACCTACCTAGGGCTACTTGCTGTATGTGCCGCTGGGTGATTTCCTCCTTCAGGTGACCTGTCAAAGACACAAAGGAAAACCACCAGTGAGTTTCCAATGGGCTGGAGGAAGACCTCACCTCAGAAGCATGTGGCAGGCTAAAAAGTAACAAAGGCAGAGTAAGAGAGACAAAAGCAGGCATAGCTTCCAAGAAGAGCCTTCCATACCCTAGACTGTGTTGGAAGAAGAGGTTTCGAAGGCCCAGATGCTGACATATCAATGCAGACACACATTTCACCTTTGGATTCAATCATCTTACGGTTCAATGATCTTATTCTGTCATGCATAACCTTTGCTAGGGCCCTAAATAGTTCTGTCTTTTATTAATGAAAGGGAGGCAAGATTTGGTCTTTCAATAATTATTAGAATCACTTTTAAATCCACTTCTTTCTTTAAGCTTTATGAAACTGTGTCAGATAAAAAATATGGTGGTTTTAGCTGATAATAACATTAACAGTTTGCCATTTGATATGAAACTCATATAATTCTAGGTTGCATTAATATAGGTATAGTGTATAGATCAAGGGAGGTGATAATTCTAGTGTACTCTGCAGTGATGAGGCCACAGTTGGTATTCTGGGAGCTACTCTTCATAAGGAACATTAGAAAAATAGAAAATATTCAGAAGATAATGACTGGGGTAGTGAGGGATCTGAAACCATGCCATATAAGAAATATTTGAGGTGACATGAGATGTTTAGATGGAGAAGACAAGACGTAGAGGGAGAGGAGGTATGGAGATAATGGCTGTCTTTGAATATCTGAATGCTGTCATATGGATGAAAGAAAAGATTTTTTTTTGTCTTACACCCAGGGGCAGAAATCACATCAAATGAATGCAGAACTGGGGCTCAAAACGAGGGAGAAACAGCTCACAATGAGGACTGCCTCAAAATGGATTAAGTTGTCTCAAAATGGATTAAATCTCCTGGAAAAGCAGGGCGTCCCTTCCTGAAAGTGCTCAAGCAGAAGCTGGGTGACCATCTGTTGGGTCATTAGAGTGAGAGTTCCTGCCCTGGGTAGGACTTGGGAGGCAATGACTTCCAGGCTTCCCCCATCTCTAAAATTCCACGATGCGTGCTTGAGGGATGGGTGAAACGGCAGCCCCAGAGTTTGTTTATGTCCCGGGCTCAGCACACTTGTTAAAATGTCTGTGGTGTCTGCATCACATGTCCCACTGGGGGTTCTAAGAAAGCCTGGGAACTTCATTGCTCCTGTGTCTAATGGGTTTCTCTCCTCACATAAAGAACATTCTACACCTCCAAGACTATAGATGAACCGAGTATTCAAAAGATGAATAGACAACGAAGCAGTCACAGGAGATGTTGTCAGTCACAGAAAGTTCTAGAAGGGTTCTTCTAGTCACACTGTTATGATGGGGGGATGGCAGAGGTCATTCAGTTTAACTTTGCATTCGATTTAGGAATCCTTTCTACAGATTGAAGCAGGCATTTCCCCTCTGACTTGTACATACTCAGGCTGTTCCACTGATTAAGTTGCAATAAGAAGTTAATTATGTGGAGTTGACACCTGCTTCCTTATAACTTTCAGTTACTGATCTGTCATCTGGATCAGCAGAGAAAAGGACCCTCTATTCCTGGCAGTTAGAGCCCTTCACATAATCTGAGGATGCTATGATTTCTCCACGTAGACTTGTCCTCTCTGGATTAAACATCACCAGTCCTTCCGTGATCCCTCGAAGGCCACTGTCTCCAGGCACACCATCATCCTGGGTGAGGGCCTGGGCCACTGCCTGTCTGTGCTTTGCCTCCCAGGTGTCCCCACTGGAGAGGATTATGCACAGAGAGGATGACTAGAATAGGGCCTGAGCAATAACTGCACCCTAATTCCAAGTGCGAAGGGGTGAGAACTTTGGGAGTGTGTTGAGGGGGAGTTGGGGAAGTGGAAGCTTGGCCCAGTGGTGAGTGCTGGTGAACCTGGATCCAACGGGAAAACGACCTGACGCCTGGGCCAGCAACAGCCACAGGTGGGATCTCTTCCCCACTCTGTGCGACATGAGCCTTATTATCCATGTCAGCAGTGTAAAGAAGTTGGGGGCATAAAGCTGGTTGGACTGAGACTCCAGTCTGCATCAAACATTGCTGAACTGAATTTTAAGAAAGCACACCACATGCATGCTCTATGCGAAAGAAGATAAGTGCTGTGACAAATACAACACACCATTTAGAAACATCTGTGATCTGGAGTGGGTCATCAAAGGCCTTCTCATCCCGACAGTATGGAGAACCACCGATGCCTTGGCGCCCTGCCTGTTTCCTGGGTATCTGGCACAGCACCTTACACCACGAGCCTTTCCCATGTCTGGGCACTGCCTTCCTAATGAGGCCGGACGGTGGCTTGCTCCTCAAGAGCACACACTGGGCTGCATTCCTCCCCGGAGAATTACCTGCCTGCCAGCCACCCTCCCTGGTAATGGTCCTCCCTGACCATGCTTTGCCCACAGTAGGTGCTCAACCTGTAGGTCACGACTTCCCCTGGTCCTATTAGAATGACTAGGTTCCCTTGTCCCAAACTCTAGAGAAGCATTTTGTTTGGAATGACAGGGTTAAGGATTCTCCTGGCCTTGGCTTGGGAAGAGCTGTTCATGTAAACAAAGAGGGAGGTTTTGCCACCAGGACTTAGAGTTCTACTAACTCCACAAACATAAATACTTTCAGAACAATGAGGCATCCCAAGGGGACAAAAGGTGACTCTTTATAATGTTACATATCGATAAAGGTAGTTTCAAATGTGGCTAGTGATGCTCAATTTTGGTGAATTGACTAACATCTCTCACCATATGGCAATTTTTTTTTTTTTTTGAGATTTCCCCAAACAAACTTCCAAGAATAGCCTTCTGGCTGATCCCTAATTGCATTTGCTAACAGAGCCATTCTTCATGTGCAGATAACAGTCTGTGTAACCTACTGGATCTCGCAGCTCCACAGGCTTTGGCATGAGCAGGAGTTGAGGGGGATTGCGGAATTCACTCAGCATGCAGCTTGCTGTCATTACCACGGTGATAAATTTGCTGGTTTTGGCCTGGTTTCCTGGACACATCCCATCCAGAGGTATGGAAAAGAGATGAAACGGAAACAGAGGACTCCCAGCCTGAGGCAGGAGACAGTCGGAGGGAGGGAAGCAGGGAGCCCAAATTGGGTTGAATACCAAAAGAGCAGGGGAGGGAAGGAAAGCTCTGCTTGTAGGAGAGTGTTGGTAATTAGCAATTTTTCCTCCAGTAATTTACCACAGTACGTGCTAGACAAACCCTCTCTCCCTTTCTCACTCATTAATTGATGGAGTGGGGGTGGCAGAAGGGAGCGGAGCCTGCAACAACCTATGGGAAAGCTCTAGAGATGAGTGACCTCACAAACGACCATGAGCAGGGTGTGTGGAGGGGTCGCAGTGTGTCGTGTGTGGTTTCTCTGTTGCCAAGTAGTTCATAGGAAAAGTATGACCATCATACAGAAGCAAAATTGATTTTTCACATTTATATTCAGTCTTATGGATAAAATAATTTTCCTTGAGCTTTATTTTGTGTATATCCTAGTTTGAGATTGTTCCGGGCCAGCCAAGCCGTTTTCACTTACAGCTCCCCCAGCATGGCCGTGTGCAGGCTGTGCCTGCAATTTTGGTGATGCTCTGCCTCATTGGGGATGTTGATGTCATTACCAAGCAATAAATATTTATTGCTCATCTACTACGTGTGTATTGTTCTCTCTATGCCTCATACACTGTGCCCTATTCTTATTCTCCTCTTCTTCCAACAGGCAACTATTCTGATTGGTTTGATGTACATCCGTGTATTGCAGGTATTCTTACAATTTGTGTTAGTTTCTGTGTAATTTTTAAGCTATGGAAGTAGCATTGTGCTATAGACGTCATTGTGTTTCTTACTTATTTACCAGTACTGTGTTTTTGACATCTACCCATTTTGCTGTATGTGCATCTAGTTCTCAATTTCTTACTGCTGCATACATTCCCTAGCATATACCCTGACATTTTACTTCCATTTCCTGAAGGTTGAATAACTGGGTTGTCCCCCACCCCACCAACACAAGTAGTGCTGTGATGACTATCCTGGACCATGAAGTCTTTTGAGGCTGTGAGAAAAGTCCTCTGTCGGGTCTCAGCAGATCTGTATGCTTAGTCTGAGTGCTGCTCTTCATAATAATTGTGCTGGTCTATATGCCCAAGACAAAGACCTTAAAGCATATTGAGGATACTGAAAGAAGTATGAAGGCATATCTTTTCTTTAAAAAAGAATAAGAAATCAAGCAACAAATAAGTATAAATGAAATAAGAATGGTGGATAGGAAAGACATTTTGAAACAAAAAATAGTCATTGAAGCAAAAAAATACAAGAGAGGGAAGAAGCAAATAAACCCTAGTCTAGGCATATTTCAAAAGTGAATTTCCTTGGAAGATAGTGTGGAAAAAGTCATCCTAAACATAGCACAGAAAGCAAAAGAGATGACAGTGGGCAGTCTCAGAGATGAAATTGAGAGACTTCATCAAGAAGTCTGTTCAAAAAGACCTGCAGAGGAAGAGAATAGACGCAAATGGTAGAGAAGCAATATTTGAAGAGAGAGCAGCTGAGATTTTCCAGGAGTGGAAAAAAACACAAACTATTATGTTGAAAGTGCACTTTGAGTGTTGAGCAGGATAAATAAATAAATCCACCCCCAGACATATCATAGTAAAGCAATAGAACTTCAGGGAAAAAGAATCACCATTAACAGCTTCCAGGAAACCTGTGAAGGACAGACTTAGATGACAGCCTACTCCTCCAGGACAACAATAGGTACCAGGAGAAAATGGAGGGCAGTAACTGTCAACTTGAATTGTATTCCTAGCCAATTATTATTCATAGGTGAAGGCACGATAAAGACAGAGCAGAAACCACCCACAGACCCTCCCTCTCTAAAAGAACTCAACTGAGAGGCAGCCAGGTGTGGAGGGTAGGTACGGGGACTCTGGCGCCAGGCTCCCTGGTTTGCATGCCAGCCACTGCTGTG